ATGCATCCCTGATTCAGATAGAGGGGATTTGAAACACTGAGCAGCAATCCTAAAGCTCCCCATGCAGGGAAGAGAGGATGCTTTCGCTGTAGATGAAGGCACTCAGGAGCTGAAAAGAGTCTCTGGGTTAGTGTCTGGCTTCAGCTTCCCCGAGTGAGCACAAGAGCCCATTCTATGAGGGTTTAGTGGGCAGGGTCACGATTGCGTCCTGGGAAGCGTTTGGCACGATGTTAGGGTGGGTTCTAGCTATCAAGTGGAGATATGGTTACAGGGAATGGACTTCTTTGGATTTTTCTGCTTCACCATGACCCAACTCTTGCTCTCAAGAACAGGTTAAGGCAGAGGACATCTAGAGGCGATAGAAGAAACTGGTTCAGACTCACTTAGGCATTCTACCCTTGGGCTACAAAAGAACTCTCCAATGATTATGGGACTCTTACTGATGACAGCTCTCTGCCTGTTGACTCACGGTGCCCCAGTATGTATTATATAATAGCCTAGTATGCCTGTCATCCTGGAATCTTTTAGCCCGTCCTCTTGGAGGGTTTGTTTTTTTTTTAATCTCTTCGTTGGATTCCCTGTGTGTTATAGCCCATGCATTCCTCATTCTTGTTGCAAACTCAGCTTTTGTTGGGGCAAGTACCACAGTAGCTTTTTAGTAAAGGATGTGCCCTTTATTCAGTCCTTGGACTTGTTTGATAGTTTGGATTCTGTCTAAAAGTCTCAGAATTCTGAAGGCATTGTTTTGTTGCTTCCCTGATGCTACAGTTGCCTTTGAGAAGTTTAAAACCATCTAATCCCTGATTCTTTCGATGCCATCTAGTTTTTCCTTTCTGGAAAGTTGTAGGCTCTTCTCTTTGTTACCAATATTCTCAAATTTCAAAATAAAATGTCTTCCTATTGTTCTTTTGTTACTGTGCTGGGCACTTGTTGGGCCATTTCAATTTGGAAACTAACGTTCTTCAGTTCTAAGAAACAGCCTGATTTTTTGTTTGTTTCTGGTAATTACTCCTACTTTCCCCTGGTCTTTGGAACTCCTATTATTAGAATGTTGGGCCACCTACCAGTCTTTTATTTTTCTTAGATTTTTTCTCTCCTATTTTTTGTCTCTATTTTTGCTCTACTTTTGTGGATATTTCCTCCACTTGATCTGCCAGCCTTTCTGTTAAACTTTATTCTGTCAAATTCGAAGGCCTTTTTTGTTGTTCTCTGAATGATGCTCCGTCTCCTTTTCTTCATATTCTCCATCTTCTTTTAGTAGAATCATGTTTATGTTTCATGGATGGAATATTTTCTCTTAACTCTCTGAGGATTCCCCTTGAAGAGGAGAGTCTTCAGATCTCTTTCCAAGAAGGTGAGAATTCTGGCTGCCAGCTTTTGGAGAGTCTCTTGAGGGAAGAAAGTTGGGGATCTCTGCTTTCTGTAGATGAGCAGTTGATGCCCATTTTCTGTAAAGTAACTGCACCTACGAAGAGTGGGTGGCGGAATTTAGTGACGTAGTAGCCAGTGCTCCTTACTTCAGCTGCACGTGATGCTGCCGGTTTGCAGTGTAGATGGTGCTGGTTCTTAGCCTCCTCACCCGCAGTTTAGGATTCGACTCTGTAGGGGCTCTGAGTCAGTTCCCAATTTTCCATCTACTTTATTTGTTACTATTTTCTATTCACTGTTTCTCCTCTTTTTTGTTGGTTTATGTCTTTTTAAAATTAATGTACTGTAATTTAGTATCATTTCTGGTGAGAGCGAAGTTAAGTCTGCATTAAATCTGCTTTCTTAATCTAGAAACCAGCTTGTTCTTTATTGCCTAGTTAGAACTCAAATTCCATTTGAGCCCTGCAATAAAAGCTCCATTATGTACAGTGAGTATTGGCTGATGCTTGTTGGAGTCAAATAAATCTCTAAGGCCAAAATAAGATGAATCATCATGATCAGGAATAGTGATGCTAATGCTCAGGTGATAAGTACTCCTCACTGCTCCCAATTAAGAGGAAGGAAACTTCAGCGAGGTTTGGCAGTTGGTTATCAGTAGTGTAAAAGGAAGGTGGTAATTTTCCAGAAGTTTCTTGCTTTCTCTTCACCGTGTAAAGCCTCCAATGGAAGTGTCAGATTACAGTATTTCCGTACTACAGTTATCTTTCCCATCAAGAAAGAATAGAAATTAGTTTTAAGTAATCAGGATATAACTTATGGAACTACTACCAGCTGAGCCTTACATTATGATAAATTGAAAATAGATGATTGGATGTATCCATTTTCTAGCTCAAGATGCTCAAAAGATAGTAAAGGGAGTGAAGGAGAACTAACATTGATGTTCTGGTTATTCATTTTTAAATATAATGTTGCATTTGCTCATCACAAAAATCCTAAAAGATGCTTATTCTAAATACTTTAGTCTTCACCCAAGGGTCCAAGGAATTGAGTAACTTGCAGGACCAAACAGCTAACATGAGTAATTTGTAAGACCAAAGCAGCGCTGGGATTAGAATCCAAGAGAGAATGACTATAAATTCTTTCTACTGCACACTAGTACCATCATAGGATAAATTTGACAACAGTTGTCAGTAGTCATGCCATGAAATTGTGCCATAGGATGCCTTTTTCTTTTTTTTTTTTTTAGCCCAGTTGAATAGCTAGTATCAATCAAATGCACTTCCTCTTGATCAGCTTCTTGAGGAACAGGCAAAGTTGCTGATTTTATACTCATAGTAGAAATGAATGACGCATCTTTGAAAACTTTTCCCTAGACACTCACTGATTTCAGGTGTGGAATATCTGGCTCTAACTGTAGTTTAAAATATCTGCTACCAAGTATATTGAATTTACTAACCAGACTAACGCCAAGCATTGAACGCAGAAGGAAATCAGAGGTGTTGACCAAATTCCTGCATTTCCATATAATGTGTCTCCTCATTTTAGTAAACAGGTAAATGTTGATGAAATTTCATTTCTCTACATTTGCACATTTGAAATCAAGAGAAAATGTCATGAAACAAGATTCTGATATGGACGCCCATGATAATTACAGCCATATTCTCTTTCCACAACTTTTGATTGATTTTCTAGGCCAAAATTCTAGGTTTTCCTCATTATTCTTCAAGTATTAAAAAAACCCTTGTTCTTCCCTGCCCTGAGGAGACCGCCTTACTTGGGTCTGTTGAGTAGTACAGCTGAGGGTGATTAGTCACTACTTTTAGGGATCTCTTTATTGAATTTCCCTTACATTCTTTTCAAAGACACATGATTATCATATTGAAGACTTTAAAAAAGAAATTTCTATTTATATTCAAAAAAAGAGAAAAGGTATTTTTCCAGAGTATTATTCCCCCGAACATGTGACACTGCATAATTCCTCACCCCCTTGCTCTCTTGCTTAGCGTCTGGAAAGACAGGCAAAGGCAAGCTCCAACCCACTGCACACACTCTACTCCTGCTCCAAACCCTTGCTTCTTTGCCTGCCCTGGAAAGTAGACTTAGCCCTAGAGACACACTTTCCCTTTTATACTTGAATGGGCCCTAAGCCTGTCTCCGCTCCCCAACCCACCCCCCCCTTTTTTTTTTTTTTACAAACTTTATTGAGTATCTACCAGATCTGGGGGTTGTGAAGGGAAACACGTCTTATTCCTGTGGTGGGAGAGACCATAGTGATTCATAGGCTTAAACATAGTTCTATACATTGATGGATGCCTTCAAGCTTATGTGTGTGGCACTTTGGGAACCTGAAAGTATGAGGTGTTGGTATTGATCTGCCTAGTGGAACCAACCTAGGAGGTGATGTTGAGAAACAAACTCCATCTTTTTCTCTGGACAACTCTTGCTTCTCTAACTGAAAGACCAGTGGGGCTCCATGTCCTTCAGAGAGCCTAAGATCTACCCCTCAGGCAAGAATTAGTCCCTCTCTCCTGTAGTTTTCAAAGACTAAGGTCATACATTTAGGATAGCCTAGGTTATTATTTTTTATACGTAGGCCTTCTCTACTACTTGGTGAGTTCCTCAGGATTTTTCATGCATTTTAAATGTATCTTATTCTCTGTATTATTGATTTTTAAAGCCCTAGCATTTTGTGCTTTCAGACCTATTTATTGATGATGGGCCTTAAAAATCCAATGAGTGAGAGACTTAAAAAAATCTTTCATGAACACCACTGTTCAGTCATCTCCTTGTTAGTCTCCAGTTGGTTGATAAAAGATTTTGAAATATTTTTAGATCATGGGTTTAATAGTGTAACAGTACTATTAAAATCAGAAATGCACACATACATTTTTTGAAGTTTTGGGAAGGGAGACTACTTTCCGTGTTCCAGGAATCTTATGGTTCTATCTGAAGTGGAGGGGTTTATCCACTGAAGCCTTTGTGTGATATTTACTGCCACCTAAAAAAGGTATTTAAAGCACATAACGGCCTCTCCTTATTGTTTCCCGAAGCTTTGCTACTACCACATTTACACTGAACATCTTTAAAAGTTGGATTTTTAAGCTGTGAACCTTCTAGAAGCTTTTCTTTTTCTTGCCTATTTGTTTCTGGTGTTGGCCACCAGGTAGCAACAGCGCTTTGAGTAGCTTGAGTCTCTTAAATAGGGAACTGTGGCAAAGTGACAGAAAGACTGAGCCCTGTGTCTTTAAGAGGGAAGGGGTAAGTGCCCAGAATCATGATTTTTTTTTTCATTCCTCTCTAGTACACTGGCTACTGCAGATGCAGGCATAAATTAGCAGCTGGCTGTGAACAAGCCTCCAGTCCTGTCAATCCACTGTTTCCATGACATTATACTTCATATCAGGGCCACTGAGACAAAATGAAAGGAAGGCTGGCCAGGTGGCACGGGGCAGTGGGCATCACGCAAGGGAAGACTGTGGAACTGCATAAAGAAGGAAACTGCGATCCTAGGGAGGTGTCGTGAGATAATGAAATATCCAACAAAAACCAGTAATAGTTATGAGAACACATTTATGCCAAAACACAAAAATCAAGTATGTCATTTTAGACTTTTCTCTTTCCTTCACCCTCAGCCATCCCTCTGGGTATTCTAGTTGTGCGTGGAGACTGTGATTTGGAGACTTGCCGTATGTACATAGATCGCCTACAGGAGGTGAGTTTCTTTAGCCAATCATTTCTTCTGCTCACTGTTCCATTTTTTAATAAACAATGACCAGCCATATATATTTACTTCTACAGCGATGCATTGGGGGAGGAAATGGAAATATGGTGGCCTTGTCTTTTTTGATAGTTAAGCACACATGGCATTTCCCCTTCCCCCACCCCCTACAGCTGCTTCCCCTCCTTAGGTGGTGGAGATGGGAGAGGGCTGACTGGGAAGCTGCAGTATGATGTTGCTCTGCTGTGGTCCATGACCATAGCTTAAACGCCTTGTCTTCTTGCCAGACAGCTCACCTGCATTTTTTGAACTAGATGGAATTTCAAAGGGTACCGATAAATAATGAAGGAAAACAGAGATTTGGGGTTACTTAATGTTTTGTATCTAGTATAGACGTCTGTCAGAGACAGCTGGATTTTTGTTTTAAAAAAAAAAGTTAAAAATGTTAAAAAAAAAAAACCTTCTATAGGAAAGAAGAACCTGTGTCATAAGAATTAGTGTCAGAACATAAAGGAATAATCTTTTTTTTCTCCTCAATCTGATCTTACCATAGAGAAAGAGAAAGGAAGAGGTCTCACATGTGACATTGCTCTGAATTTGAACGGCACGAACAAAGCCAAGAGACCCAAACCCATCCCTACCATGGTCATTGGCTGTTTTTGCAAAATTTCTAGGGAGAGTATTCAGTGTTTTTGTTCTACAAATAGCAAAAAGCATGGATAGCCACTTCTTTATCTTTGTTTCTCGATAAAAGATGCACATTAGAATCACTTTTGGGGGGATGTGGTCTAGACATTTATGTTTTTAAAGCTGTTGGGTGATTTTGATAAATACTCCAACATGAGCAACTCTCTTCCAAACAACATGCTATACATAAGTAAATGTCACAAATAAAGAAGATATATAGTGTCTAAAATCTCTCTGAATTGTACTTGGTTTTGAATCCTAGATTCTGTTTCTCTTGGTGGAAATAAATTCAGGTGAGAGACATAAAGTAATGCAAAAATTACTAACTTTTCTCTTTAGCATTGTTAAGGATATCAATGGAATTTCGAATGCAAAATATTTTGAGACAGATGCCAGGTTTTGAATACTGATAAGGATGAGAGAAGAAAAGCCAACGAAGTTTATACAGGCGGCTTCCTTTGGCTATTTTTATCAAAGATAACTTTAACATGTTAAAATTTGTGAACTTTTTAGCATGTGACTCAGGTCCAAATCAATCCTAGAGCATATAGTATCTCATTTTTCAAAATAATGTTTGTCTTTTATTGTGGCACTGCCTTCAAAAAACCTGCAATGAAAAAATGAATCATAATTGATACAAAACTATTTCTTTTTAAAAACTTGGATAACTTAAGATTTCACAGTAGCAAAATACCCAACCGATAAACTGATTTTGTTGAAAGTTAATTTACTGTTAGGCTTATCACACCAGTATTCAACAACTAAAAGTGGGATTCTTTTTTTTAAAAAAAGGAAAGAGCAAGCACAAATAAAGAGGAAAAGTTTTAAACCTGGGCTCAGAGAGGAAGTTGATAAAGCCTGTGGGAAGCAGGTATCGGGATGAATGTACCCAGGATTGCTGACATCTGTAAATAGAATCCCTACGCTCATTAACAAGGAAGCCTGCGGACATGACATTGGTGACAACTTAGTTATAAAACTCTATGAAGGGAGCCTGGCTCTCAGAATCTGCCAGTAAAATCTCATTAATTTCAACCCTGTTAATTTGCACTTCGTGATAATGCAGAGGTGGCCAGTGATTTTCTCTTTTCAGTCTGTGAAAACCTGTGTTTGCCAAGCAACTTATCGGTGTAAACACAATTACCATGACAGCATGTATTTGGTTTAAGATAAATTTCTACGTGCCTACGAGGACTTTAGAAGTTTACTTCACAAGCCAAAAGTCCAGGTGCAAGTTAAATATGACCCCCATTTATTACAACAAAGTTGCCTGTCTTTTAGTTTTGGGCTTCTGTGTCCTCAAAATTGTTATCACTCACCTCTAAACACTATTTAGGATTTATACGTTTTAATAGCTAAATGGCCTTCCTTCTCTCAGTCCAACTTGGTGTGCTTTTATTATTTTTGGCATTATCTTCTTTGTTTGGCCTTGAAGAATTGGGGACAGTAAAATGCTTTCCAGATGGGTTTAATAATATGAAATTGGGAGTTTAGTTGATGGAATTGTGGAGGCAGCCTGCTTAAACTAATCTTAAGGTATATGAATTTTTTTTTCTCCATTTTCTCATTAGGACCTGCAGTCAGTTTCTTCTGGCTCCCAGAGAGTTCATTACCAGGTAACATATAATTGACTCTCCTTGTTTCTTACCTTCTGGCCAAAAGAGGTCCATCTTTCAATTAAATTGAAATCCATATTAAATCTAATATGGATTAGAGTCCATATCTCCCCTAGGGGTAGCGTTCACTCCAAGAACGAAGTGAAGTTGGCATTCTGATTCTTTTGCATTTTCCTGATTATGGACAGTTCTCATAGAGCAGAAATTTGGGCTGTGGCTTTTCTCCCAGATCATTTGGAAAAGATTATAAAGTGAAGTGCTTTCAGTGACAAATACTAGAAAACTCAACTCAGACTAGCTTGGCAGGGAGTCTGTCTGTTGGTTCACTTCAGCAAAAAAAAAAAGGTTCAGATCCAGGGGGGATTTTATGTACCACCTGGCCACGGTTCATACTCCATTTTTCTGTTGGCCTTTCTGCTCTGTTCCCCTCTTTCGGTCAGTTTCACCTCTGGCCCAAGGCGGCTGCCAGCCGCAGCTGGGGCTGTGTTTCTCCTTCACATCCTGAATTCCCTGCTGCTACAACCATCAAGCCAACATTCTGAAATGCAACCTAATTGGCCTATCCTTGTCTCTTGGACAGGGTCCAGTAGCGCAGCCTGCCTCTCTCTAATGACCCACATCCAGTCCACAGGAGAATACTCACATACCGTTCGCCCCAGCACTCCTTGGGAGTGCAGTTTCTTGCTCACTTTCCCACCCGCACTGTCCGGCACAGGTCTCTCCAGCCACCCTCTTACCCATTAGATTTCCCAAGGGTGATGTAGATACCAGTGCACAGCATCACCCCAACCTGCAAGAGGCACATGCGAAGTTCTCTGAGCATTCATGTCCCGTGAAAGCCCTTCTCTGTCCGAGACCTTGTCCCCCTGCCAGCCGGGAGGGGTGTGTGGGATCACAGCATGCCAGTGATGCCCTCCAAATAAACCCTCTCCTGGATCCTTTTATGCTTCCACGGCGGGGAAGGACTTAAAGATGTCTCAATTTGTCAATCCTGGTACACCTCACTTTAGGTTTTGGTGTCTGTTTTGGTACACCTCAAACTCCGAGTTTAGCATCTCTTTGCAAAAACAGCAAAAGAAAGCAATTAAAAAAACAACCCTATGCCTTGTAGCCTCTAGATAGCTTTCTTCCCCTGCCAGCAGATACCCCGCACCCTCCGCCAGAGCAGCCCGGTCGTCTTGAGGCTGAGCAGCAGGAATGGCCTTGCTGCTCCTATTTGCTTGCATGTCTCTTTCTCAAACAGAGTAACCCAATATTCTAGAGTCCTGTCTTCCGTGTGGCTGCAACAGAAAGGATGAACATTCACTTAGGGTGTGTTCACAATGAGAGAATAAAGTCTACTTCTGGGACTGCTTTTTACTAACCATCAGAAGGCACATTTCCACTTTATTTTTGAGATAAAGCACAGCATTTCTCGCATCCATTATTTGCATATTTACCTGGAGCCACTATCTAGGTGTCATTTTATTTTTAAAAGTATAGTGCTTTTAAAGACTAGAGCTGCTTTTTACCCTTTAAGGATTGGCACTGGTAGTTAGGAGATTTTAAGAGTCTTTTTTTTTTTAAGAGTTTGTTAATTTTTACACATGGACATTTTGAACCTTTGCAATTTTATCAAAACATCTCAAACATTTATTCTAGTTAGTTTTATGAGACTAATACATTTATTTATTATCCTGGCTTATTCAGTGTAGTCATTCTGGCATGAGAGTTTTGATATATGGGCATTGTGCATCATGTTTTCTTTATACCATGTACATACCACAGGTATCAGGGGACAGTTGAGACTCTAGAATGTGATAAGGATATTTATTTTATTTATTATTTGTTAATAAAATCATGCAGAAGGATTAATGGTAGTTGCCTGTTTCAAAATCTTTCTGTGTTTTTTGTTTATTTGTAGTAAGGTCAAACCCTGGTGTCAAAACTGCTGCATTTTAAATGTCACTTCAAAAGGTTCTGTGCACTGACCATGCAGGACAACCAGTGCAGCGATCAGAGATGAGTGTCAGGAGTGTTACTTTGCCCCACACCCCTCCTTGCAGAGTTATAAAAAGCAGGAGCCTTTGGGGTATGAAGAGAAGGCCGGAGTAAAAGCAATCCAGGGAGGCCCGGGATCTACTCATAGAACAGGAAACTTACCTGAGGGAGACTGCGTCTGAGTTAACGTGGCCGGAGAGCAGAGAGGGGTGGCGAGGAACTGTCCTAAGCAGAGCGATGGGGAGCTCGCTGAGGCAAGGACTGAGGGGGTATAAACGTTCCCATTTGGCTGGGATCTCAAGCAGATGGGAGGAGGAATGAGTTGGAGGGATAGTGAATAAAAAGTTCTTTTTTAGCTACCTTAATTTTGATATGCCTCTTAGATCCAAGAGGTTTTGGTGAGTAGAAAGCTGGATATATGACTTTCAAAGCTCATTGAAAAAATTCAGACCTGAGCATAGAAATTTGAGAGTCATCTAGGGAGAGTTCACCTGGGCAGAGTCTGCATAAAGAAGAGGGCCCAGTGTCATATCTGTGTCTGCTGAGCGGCCAGGAAGAGCTCTAGTTGGAGAGAATGATCAGTCAGGAAGAGCCGTGGAAACAGACAAGCAGCTGGAAAGCTGGAAATCAAGGAGAAGGTGGTACCAGGAAAGCCAAAATGGAAATATACTTCACAAAAGAAAGCAATGAAATGTGTCAAATGCTGTTGAGAGGCTGAGATAATATAGATCGATTTCTGTATTTTTCCAAGGATATGTATAAGATACATGCGATCCAGGTGCTATTAGTTTTATATAGAAAGAAACACAACCAACTGCCAGGAAACTTAATACTAAATCTTGTTTCCTGATGCAGAAACAGATATTATATCAGGGTCTCTAGTCTGTCTCGGTGGGAGTTAGGGGGCGATTAGGAGAAAGACCCATAGAGACGGACAACCCCAAAATGCCTTGGATGCTTTCTTAATGAACTTTGTTATATGTGAGATAGAACTAAATATACTTGACAATTAATGTGGTCGAATGAATAAACATCAGTAAGTTTAAAAACTTGAGAAATTCCTGGGGGCTCACTCACTTGCAGTGGGGATTTTAGTTGAATATTTTCTAAGGCGAGAAAAAACTCAGGAGAAAAGCAGCGTTTGGAAAGTTGTACAAGTGCCCAGGACACCTTATCAGTGAGCCGTGTGGCAGTTCCTGGCCTTTTAAGCATTTCGTTGCTTGGTTTCTTCCTTTCCCCCAATTCATAATGAATTGCCTACAAAGCATTAAGGCTCAGAAATGACCTTGCATTAACCCAACAAGGCACTGTGGGTTATACGAGACTGTGCTGGGTCCTTACGGCCCGCTGAAAGTTACTGCCTGCACCGTCTCTGAGGCTAGAGTACAAAGGCCCCTCCGCCCTCATGGTGTCTCGTGTCACCCGCACCTGACAGGTTAGATGCGTGCAGATTCAGGGTGTTCTTAAGCTTGGCAGATAAACCAGAATTCACAGGGAAACTGGACCCTACTGTTTACTAAAGATGCTTCATGCGGCCACCTCTAGCACGAAATAATTCCTCTACTCACCCCCTGGAGTTCATTATGTCCCTTCTTAACTCTGAGTCATAAGATTACTAAGGAATAGAGGCAGATTCCACCATGCTAGTAGTTCTCAGCTGGGGGAGACTTTGCCCCTTATAGGGGACATTTGGCAACTTGGACATTTTTGTGTGTCACGACTAGGGGTGGTGGTTCTGCTGGAATCTATCGAGTAGAGGTCAGGGATGCTGCGAAACATCTCATAATGCACAGGACAGTCCCCTACAACAGAGTTAACCCTGAGTCATTCTGATGGCTCTCAGGGCCTGGCCGGGGACCAGGCAGGTGGAAGTCCTAGATGAAGAATGTGGAAGGAGAAAGGAGGAGCAGGGAAAGGAAAGGGAGTAAGGGAAGAGAGAGAGAGGTATCTGTGGATATGGTGGAGAAGCATAAACAGAGAGCCCAGAGCAGTGGAACCAGGAACAATTGGGGGTTTTGCATACACTCAGGGTTTCCCACATTTCTATGGGGTACTGATTGTAGCTGGCACACAGGACTGTGTTTTCAGAATATTATGAGCTAATAATTTGAGATTTTAACAAATACAGGAGGACTCAATAATAGGGGAGAAGTGGATCTATTCAGGTGATTCCTACTCTTGAAGAATTAATTTAATTAGAAATAACACTGGAATGGTTAGACTATTTCAAAACAGATGTAACATTTTCAGGAATTTCTTTCACCCTTTAGAGTCTTTACAGATGTCTTTCACTTCCATAATAAAACACTCTTGGTCAGATCTGAGTCTCCATCCATTCATTCATCCTCTGATCTTTTTTCCTTTCCTACATCCCTGGTCTTCTTCTGGCAGGCAGGTCCATGCTGTATTCCACCAGAGCTCTGTCTAGTCCTAGGCAAACAGCCTGTGCCCCCAAGTGTTTGATGTGTCCCCTCCTCCTCATTCTGGCTGCCCTTATCCACCTCTCCTTTCTCTGAAATCTCTTCCTCAGTTTGTTTTCTAGATCTAGAAGAGTCTTTGAATGGACAGATTTAAACAAGTTTAAGGGCATCCTCCTGGGAATTAATTTATCTTGTCTCAGAGGACAGGGGTTAGTGAGGAAATCAGGAGACTGTTGTTTCTGGGGGGCTAGATCAAAGCTGTCAGAAATGGATCAAGTGGGGAATTAAAGTAAGACTTGCCTGGGACCAGGTCTGTTTGCTGGTGCAGGAGAAGGCATGAGAAGACACACACACACACACAGATAGACAGACGGACACACACACACACACACACACACACACACACGTTGTTAATGGAAGACTTTTGCACCAGATAAGGGCTCTTGAAAACATTGGAATATCTCTCATTTCATCTTCTACCACACCATCACTGATTCTTCATCTTTCAAAGCTGGATTTGGAAATGGCTATCCTATTTCTGTAAATTCTGCTGCTGCAGGAGTCCTGGATGGTAAAGTAGTAGGTCTGAAGGGTAAGAGT